TCAACACCGTTTAAAGTACTTAATCATTTATTAGCATTTGACCTGTTTCTCTAAAAATAATCAACTATAGCATATCAACCACACAAAGCTAACCTTATATGGCTGGATGTGTTTGTGAAATGGAGACTATGGCTCCCTTGGCCTTGAGACAAAGGATCGTGGCCATGTTGTACAACTACAGAAATAACTTCAGTCTTAAACAACTCTCTTTAAATGAACAGAGAGAAATGTAAAGCCTTTGGAAAATAAGCCTTACAATATTGAAAGAAACATTACCTTGACAGTTTTAGAGGCTTGGATTTATGGAATGACCAAGTGTCAGGGCAAAGGTAAACAGAGTCAACTAGAGAACCTTTCAGTGCATAAGGCCTGGTATTTGCCAACCATTATGTCACAGGAATCTATAGCCAACTTGTGAAGCAATCTATTGGGGATGCAAAGTCTTGAGTGTCTGGGTTCTTTGAATTCAACTGTGGATTTGGTTATTTGACCAACACCTTCAAACAGATAGGATCACCAAGCTGTCTTCTTATTCAGCTGAACATTTATAAAATATGTGTATAAAAGTCCATTGATCTCATGTCTTACCTAAGACAGCATCTTTTATCTGCAAGTACTGGTTAGTATGTTGAAGGCACTATGCTAGATGTATGCTGAGTGACCCCAATCACTCTGAGCTGACAGTCTTACTCTTTGTTAGCACTTGTTCAAAGATAATAGCTTATATGTGCTTACCTTGTGCTCTTTCAAATGTTTTTGCTTTATAAATGGATCTCAAAGGTATTGCTGACTCCATTGTTGGTATAAAATGCTTCTACTACTAACAGTATTAAGGCTGGGCATCACTGGCTCACACCTGTAAACCTAGCTATTCAGGAGGCTGAGATTTTAGGATTGCTGTCCAAAGCCAGCTTGGGCAAGAAAGCCTGTGAGAGTCTTAGCTCCAATTAACAACCAAAAAAGCAAGAAGTGGAGCTGTTGCTCAAGAGGTAGAGCATTAAGCCTGGAGCACAACAGCTCAGGTAGAATTCAAGCCCTAGAATTGGCAAAGGAAAAAAAAGTATTAATAAGTTGGTACCTTCATTGGTTTCATTATTACAAGTACAGTTGACTGATAGGAAAACTGTAACTTCAAAAATTAAATTTAAAAGTGTGTCATCAGTTTTTAAATTCAGTGACAAAATTAGTTCATTGGACAAAAACCCGTTAGGTACTAACAGGTACTAACCAGTAATGCTAGCGAGAAAGGTGAGGTGGTTCAGAAAGATAATTCTGATTGTCACAAGCAGAAGGCGTCTGATTCTTTGCAAACGTCCTTTGTTCAAAACTCATTTGGTGGCTCAGTGAAGCAAGTCCACATTTTGACATGCCAGCATTTCAGTGCCTCTGCCCACCCCATCTTGACTAGTTAAACGTTAAAGATCAGCAATTCTGTCAGCACTTGGAAGGCAGCCTCCTTGCCTACCAAGTCTTAACGGCAAACCATCTCAAAGCATGTCTGGGTGACCTGGCTCATTTTGACCTCTCCACCACCACTGAACACCTGACAACAGTTGGATCCTTATCAAACTGGTTAATACGGTTCTTGGTAATGTGCTTTATCCATCTACATGCAGATGGTTTTCTCAAATATCTCTTTGTGGTGCATTTATATGGATAATTGAATCACTATAATTTTCAAATATTGCTTTATGGGTAAGCACATTGAATTTGAAAAATGTATTTTATCTATTATAATAATATAATTTTATATAATATACAATATTATATAATATGATTTTATATACTATACATATAATATATAATGTAATATATAATATATATTATGGTTTCATGATAGATATGAATGCCAACTTAGATGGTACTCCTCTTATGTAAATTACCACCTAGCTGGGATCACAAACAGCTTAATGGTTGATGTGGGATCTTACTAACGTTTTACCTGGTCTAGCCTCAAACCATGATCCTCCTGATCTCTGCCTTCCTAATAGTTGAGATTACAGCTATGTGGCCTCCACACAGCTTTGATATCTGTACTACCACCAATTAGTAGTGAGGTACCAGCTTCTCACTATGCAACCCTATACACTGTAGCATGTGCAGAAATGGCCTAGTAAGTGGCATGTAAGTAAAGAAAAAATTCACTTTAACTTCAGATATTTAAACAGATTTTTGGATCATGTGAACATTGGGCCTGGATAACTCAGACATATTCATTAGAGAAATATTAGTATTTATAAGTGGATATTGAAAAGTTATATAAAATAGTAATGAGGACTAAGAGTATGATAATTTTGAAGTACAAAATAGCAAAGTCTATCAAAATTACAAATGCATACACTGGTTGACTTAGTAAGTATTCTAGTTTGAGAAATTTTCCCTCTAGTCATAGTTATAACATGTGTGTCAACCTGAGCATACAAAATGTTATTTGTAGCCATGTCTATAACAACATTCCAAACATAAATTGCCATTCTTATTCAAATATAAGCACATACATATTTGAATGGCATTTTCTTGTTTATTATTTACCTATCTACTTGTGTATTTATTAATTCACATAATGTTCAATATTTTATAAATGTATACATTCCTCTGTAATTTTAAATATTCACTATGGATATGGTTGAATTTTTCCTTTCCATCAATTTTATATATATATATATATATATATATATATATATATATATATATATATATGTATATTACTGAATGGGGCCTCTTGAGCAACACCTCTAGTCCTCCATCTGTTTTATCTTGTTCAATATAGGCACAGCATATATGTGCTGAGGGAAGAGTGTGCTTACACCTGAGTATTTGAAGTGTTGTCTGTATTAGGTCTATATTAGTGTTGTCTAAAATTAGGGCCCACTCTTGGCAGTGGGACCTAATTTTATGAGATGAATTTGTTTCTAAGCAGTATATATGATAAGACAGCTATATTTGTAATGATTCTTTGGTATAATGTATCTATTCAAGATAGGTTGAACAGAATGGATGGTTTCAAGAGAAAGGATATAACTTTTCAGGGAAATACTAAAGGGTCTGAAATGAAAGAAATTGTATATGCTTAACCAGATATTCCTGGGTTTATCATAAAGTACTCATTTGACCACACAAAAAATGTGATAGTTCTGGAAGATCTAATTGACATCTGGTCGACAGACAGCACAACACCATTAGTTGAATGTCCTCACTTTACCCTTCCACAAAGGACTTTAGCCGGTGGCTGCTTCCACAAGATCTCCCATGTCTTCCCTAAACAGAATTTGCTTGGAATTGTGTGCAAACCCACCAAAAAACTAGGTGATACATTTCTTTTGGGGGCTAGGGGGTCTTGTCTCATTTTTCTTTTAATTTCTATCAACACTTTTATACTTGAGAATTTCTCAGATCAGATGTATTGAATTGACACTCCTCTGTCAAAAATGCCATGGTAGATCTTAATCTGGGATACCATAAGAAATAAACTGGCCACTCAGCACCCTACTAGGGGTTTGACTGCACTTAAGGGGCTCATTTGCAGCCCACATTCCCCTAAGCAAATCTGTGGAGTTCATTAGAAATACATGTTACCCGAAGTTTTAGAAATTATTACACATCCTCAACTGATTACCCATTTCTGGGAGTAGTATTTCCCTTCAAAGTCTGTATCTTAATCTGAGTCTCATCTGTAAGCCTGAGAAATGTCTGGAATTCCCTTAAACGGTAGCTGTTGGGATTAGGATTTCCAGAGATTCGGGGAGGGACACATAGATCCTCCCCACCTTTCCAACCCTACTGCCCACTTGCCCTTGTACAAAGGTCAGGGCTGACCTTAGGTGCATTCTTATTTCCTAACACTTGTGTGTTTGTATGTGACTTTCTATTGTTGCTGATGGTGGAGAAACAGTTTTAAATAGTTGTATCACTTTTTATTTCCAGTTCTTTTACTCAGGCTGTTTTTCTTCATACGACAAATTCCCAGAAGGTAGACACTAGTAGCCTTATTGGAGAGGTGGGGAAACTGGGGCTCAAGAAGTATTGGATTAGAACCCAGAGCTCCAAAGCAACCTGGAGTAAACTATGAATGTTAAGTCCTGCCTTTGATACCTATGCAAATCACACAGTACTGTTCATGGCTGAAAGTATTACAGGCTGTGACAGGTTCTTGGTTCTTTTCATAAAATAATCAATGATGAGCAACTATAGGGTTTGTACTTGAAATGTGACAGCTTTGGACCTGAGCTCCACCTCTACTTCTGATATTCATTGTGAGATCATGAGCATTTTATTAGTATGTTGTAAAATGGGGTTGCTGGAAAGAAGAAAAGGAAAGAAGACATCTAACCTAGGGCCTGGACCATTGCAGACATGCAATGAAGAGTAGGGAACAACATTTTTGCCGGCAAACTGTATTGTATCACTAGTCTGAGGGCCTTTTTCTTCCAGACCATTTATTTTTTAAAAATGTATTCCCATGGCCTACTTTGAGAGGCCACCCAGACAGTGCTTTCTGGAGTATTAACATCACCAGGTATCCTAAGATACCGATGTTAATTTAAAGAAATATGGAATAGACTTGCACTCCTAACATTTGCAGCAATAGCAATGCTGGTGAGCCATGGCCCACACTTTTGAAGCAAGAAGATGTACCCAGACAGCAGGACATCAAGACCAGGGATGCCTTGGTCTTAATTACACAGAGCAGATGTTTTATACACAAATTGCTATGATCCTGCCCGGAATGTCTAATTCAGCAGGTGTCGGGTGGCTCAGAAAGATCTTGGTTTAAAAACAAAAAAAAGCTCCCAGTGATTGTGAGGCTGCTAGTCAGAGTACTACACTTGTCCTGATTGGCAGAAGGCTGTTAAAGTGAACAATCAGAAGAGAATTGTCATTAGTTCCAATAGGCAATGGCTTTTGGGAAATCATTTTTAGGGAGCACCCTATAAAAGCTGTCTCCCCTCACACGTCTAGCCGGCCCCTTCCCTAAGCCCGCCAGGATGTCAGAACATTACCTTATAGACATTGATGGGGATGTCAATGATGATGTGTAGCAGGTCCCCCAGCGCCAGGCTGGCGATCAGAATATTGGGGCCATTCCTCATGCACTTGTTCTTATAGATGATTCTCAACAGCGTGGAGTTTCCAATGATACCCAGCACGAATACGAGGCAGGACACAACGGTGTTGATGTATTTGAAAGTCTCCTTGATCTCGATGTTTCCTTGGCATGGGGGAGGGGGCTGGGACCGCGGCGGCGGGGCTGCAGCCACGGCCCCTCCTTTAGTCACCTCTGCAGGTGTTGGTGACCAAGACAGACTGGAGTTCGAATCTTGTATCCAGGAGGTCTTCGTGGGTGGCATCATGATCTCTTCGGTCCCCTGAAATGAGCTGGTGGCTCCGGCAGGCGGGAGTCCACTCTCTTCTCCCCAGACCCCCACCAGGCCACAGGCAAGAACCAACGCCATCAGGGCGCGTCTGCCCGGGCTTGGCGGCGGCTGCATGCCCATGCTTGCTGCTTGCACTGAGCTTCGGTGTGGCCGCTGCTGCGCTGTTGACAGTCTGGAGACCCGGCTGGGGAAGGCAGACCAGACCCGGCTCTCGGGACCCCAGCCACGCCCCTGCCAGGCACCGGACACTACTCCGCGCCCGGCCACGCCTCTGCGAGCGCCGCTGCGCTGCCGCCGCCGCCGCTGCGCGCAAAAGTAACTCAAGTTTGCGCGCCAATGGGGAAACTTGGGCAGGCGTCAGCCGCCGCCGCCGGTGCGCCGCGCTCCTCCCGCACCCCCTCCGCAGTGCTTCTCTTCCCTTAGGTCCGTTCTGGGGGTGGGGGTGGGGGGTGGATTACTTGCCTAGGGCTGAGAGTTCTAGAAGGGATGTCTGTCCAAGCAAAGCTCCTCTGAGCACTTCTCTAAGCCAGGAGAGAGACGAATGAGTTTCAGTTCAAAGTTTTGGGGATCGGGGGAATGAAGTTATTTCTCTCCTAGACACTCAACCTCTGAACCCAAGACTGCTCCCGCTGGATGGAAGCCGCTTCCCTCCGTCCAGCTGCGGAGTGGTTCCCCCCCCCCCCCCCCCCCTCCACCGCCCCTCCACGCTGCGCGCTCCGGGAGCGCACTGGAGACAGCATTAACCTCAGCCTGGAAGCTTCTGTCCTGATTCCTAGTGGTTTCCAAGCCTCACGAGCCTCTCCTTCACCCCGATCGCATTTTCATAAGCCTTTACTTATAGTTTAACAAGCCCTTACTTCTACGTGTATCACTTTCACTCACAGGTCGGTTTTAATGCTCCAGAGCTAAATGCTCACCCTGGTTGTGATTCAGTGTCTAGGCAGTACGGTTACCTCGCAGATCAGATGTACCAGGCACAGCTGACACCAGCCCTGGACTCGTCCAGGACTCACAGAGACACTTTTGGGACAATAGGTTGTCTGCTGGGTTCCAGTCGACTCGGCTCCCTGGGCGGAGGGAGCAGAACGCGCCCTCCTTGAGTTTGCAGGCGGGGCTGGTTCTGATAAAACGCTGTGCGAATGCCACAGAGAGTAGCCCTTCACCCATCGCCCAGACAAGTACTTTTATTCATTCCTCCTTTGCCATCAATCACCGCCAGACTCCTCCAGCGCTTTCCGACCGGGCTGCAACCTTTCCCCTTGGGCGATGCCTGGACAGCATCAGCTCCGGCTGCCCGCTGGAGAGGGCAGTCCTGGGCCAGAGTCCTGTCCCATGAGGCTGTGTATTTGTCTTCGTTCTAAGTGCTTCTAAAGAAGGGCCTAACGCGCCCCCACGACGCTCTTGGAACTACAGGCAAGAGCAAACCTCTGCATTAAACTAGACTTCTAATGTTGAGGGAGACTGCTTTGCTTACAAGTAACGTGCTCTTCCGAGATATGTGAGGCCTAGTTGATGTGGGGGCTTAGCTCGTTGTTTTGTTTTGCCTTTAAGTTTCAAGTTCACAGAGGCCCCAGTATGGAAAAAAGAAAAGATCCTTTCTTTTCAATCCCACCCGCAACCCCCTCCACCCAGCGCTGCTCCATAGGAGGACTAAAAGTCACCCCCTAGCTTTCTTTCTCAAATACATCTTATCTCCCGCTTCCTGAAGGGTCATCTTCAGACCAGCTCAGGGGCTTTTATACTGGATGGACCCACGAAGGACCCGATGATGTAGGAGACATAAAAATAGCCAGAAAGTTGCCATGCAAATTCAACCTGATGTTTCAATAAAACAAATCCTATCCTCCTGCCTTCCTGCCTTCCTGCCTGCCTTCCTTCCTTCCTTCCTTCCTTCCTTCCTTCCTTCCTTCCTTCCTTCCTTCCTTCCTTCCTTCCTTCCTTCTTCCCCCCTTCTCTCTCTCTCTCTCTCTCTCTCTCTGTCTCTCGGGACTGCCGTTTTTCTAGGCACTTCTGCTGTCCCTTAGCTTTATTCACTCAAGGCTAGCACTCCATTACTTGAGTCTCAGCTCCACTTGCGGCTTTTTTGGTGGTCAAATTGGAGATAAGAGTCTCACAGGCTGTGTGATTCAGGCTGGTTTTGAATCTTAGTCCTAAGAGCTCAGCCTCCTAAGTAGCTAGGGTTACAGGTATGAGCCACAGGTGCTCAGTTCCTATCCATTTTTATGGCATAGAGGGAAATAATAGTGACTGGCAGTTTTGCCCAAAGATTGCATTGGGCAAAGAAATTCAGGTTGTACAGGGTCTGGTTCTACTTTGCTGTTTTGTCAGCAGAATCCTGGATGTATATGTGAAGATAAATGCAGAAAAGTATTCCACATTGCAGTTCCCGACAGAGATGAAAGCTCTTGTTTAGTAGCTTCTGTAGGTGGATAAACCAACAGTAGGAAATCAATTTTTATTTTAAAAGATGAACTTTATAAGTGTGAAATGTAGCTAAGAGGTGATTAAGGAGTAAAATTTAAAGAAATGCGAAACGGTCTGGCTGTGAGTGCTAATCCCAAATCTGGCTGTTTTGAGGGCAGCCCTCATCCTCCCTGTCTGAATGAAAACAAGGTCAACATTCCATTACTTCAGAAACAAATCATGATGCACAGCGTGTGTGAATGACTGGAACTAGATGGATGAGGATTTTGCTCAGCTGACTCCACAGAGGGTGATTTTGAACCTGCTCTGTACACAGCCTTCTTCCCTTTCATACATGACTCGTCTCTTACCCCTTCACCATCATCTCCATTCACACAAGTACACCACTCAGTCTTGGAGGATCTTTCCAGTCTCCATTGGGGTCTACCTCTTCTCTTTTCTCACAGCATCTTCTCATTGTGAGCTAACTTAACACTTGATCACATACAGACTCCTGACCTTATAAGAATCCATTGCACTTTTTAATATATATATAATATTATTGTAAAAATGCTGTACAAAGGGGTTACAGTTACTGGAGTAAGGCAATGAGTACATTTCTTGTTGAGTGTTGTTAGCTCCTCCTTTGTTTTTCTCCTGCTATCCCCACCTCCTTCCTTCCTCCCCCTACAAGTTGTAAAGTTCATTTGCAACATAGTGACTTGTGAGGATCACTGTTGCAATGGATCATCCTGTGGAATTCATTGCTTTTTAAGGGTAAAGACTGGATTCCTTGTTTTATTTTTCTGTGTAATCATAATGCCTGCCACAAGTTGAACTCAAGAAATACTTTTTTTGTGTGTGTGAAAATACTGTACAGAGGGGTTACAATTACATGGGCAAGGTAATGAGTACATTTCTTATCAAGCATTGTTGCCTCCTCCTTTGTTTTCCCTTCCCATCCCTTCCCATCTCCCACCCCCACCCACCCACCCAAGAAATACTTTTGATAGATCATGGCATTCAAAATTTAGTAACTCTGTTTAGTAACTCATTGGCCTTAACACCCAAAGCCAAAATGTTTTCAGTAAACATACCCATTTGTTATTTAGAATTTAAATTCCAGTGTAACAGGTATATAGATTCTTTACAATAGGATCTATCACCTGTATTAGGTATTTTATTCACAGTTGGTTTTCTCCTGAACTGCTGTCTTCAAGCTTGATATTTGTTTGTTTTTCATGATTTTATAGGTAGTCAAATTGAGTCTTAAGAATTCATTTCTCTTCATATGATTTAATTGTTTTTGGAGTTAGGATTTTAATCCATCTGGTTGCTAGACTGTACTTGGTGGATTAATTTATTCAGAGAGATTCTAAATAGATCTTTTCTATTATGTGGGGAGAAACGGTGTTTTATACATTAGCAACATTTAATTGAAGCTAAAGCTTAATCATTTCACATTCAAATTAAAGAGAACCATGTAGAATGTAAGGATGAAATTTCTGAACCTCATGAGTGATTGTCTTCAAGTCATAAGAAATTAGCTCTTGATCTCTCTTTTGTAAAATGTCAGGAGAAGAAAGAATTGAAAGTATTCCTGCTCTAAACTGGGCACTGGTGGATCACACCTGTAATCCTAGCTACTCAGGAGTTCTGAGCAGAAAAGTCTGTGAGAACTCTTATTTCCAATTTACCACCCTAAAGCTAGAAGTGGAAATGTGGCTCAAGGGGTAAAGTACAAGCCTTGAGTGAAAAAAGCCAGGTGAGAGGCTCTGAGTTCAAGTCTTACTACCAATGCACACACATAATTACTTTTCTAATTAGTCAGTGTGAGTGACATATAATGTGGTAAAAGTGTCCTGAAGTGCAGAACTATGAAAAAAACGGATCTGTAAACAAAGTTTCTTCTTTTTTGTCTCCACTGTCTTTAGTCATGCCTTGGGCAGTATTGCTATTATATAGCTTTTTTGTGTTTCTTTCACTGTATAACATGGAATCTTTGAGGCTCAACTTTATTTATAAATTCATTAGTAATGAAGTATAGTGTACATTTCATTTGTATATTTGAGATAAATCTTGCCTCAGTGTTTAAGAATCATGGCCTGGCACTGTGGCTCAAGTGGTAGTGTGTTTGCCTGGCATGCTTGAGGTCCTGGGTTCAACCCCCCAGTACTACTAAGTTAAAGGACCTTTCCTGAAAACTTTTGGGTTTGAGGTAAATTTGTATTTGTTAAAAATACATTTCTGAAAAGAAATCATTTTTACAAACTTGCTTTTATAAAGTTGTTGTTTTTTTCTCAAAGTATTCCAGGAAATCTGTCAAAATTCCAGCTTGGCTAAGCTCACTTTCCCAAATGAGAAAGGCAGTGGCTAGAATTTTGACAGATTTCCTGGAATACTTTGGATATAAGTGGTATCTTCTCCTTCAAGGGCTCTAACCAGGAGGTCTTGAAGACATAGTTGAATGTTCTTCAGAAGTCAGTCCTCAAAGAGGTTTGCCAGGGGGACATTACCCAAAAACCTTTTCCCCTGGTAAGAGGAAAAAAACGAAAAGCCCTTTTAGCTTCAAAGGAGGGGACACTTTCATGTAATCTTCTTGATATGAATGCACCCTTTGGAATGTACCTTGAACTCTCTAAATCCCTGGTGCTGAGGGACATGGTATGAATAAATGTAGGCAGAGCTGGTTCAGTTGCCTTTCCACATATTCCCTGAGGAATAGATCCAATCATCAAATTGTGCTTGAAGCAGGAGCACAGGAAAGATGTAAAG